AGCTGGAGGCGTCTGCAGACATCACCCCTACTCTGTCATTTAAATTCTGGGGAATGCCTATCCCCAGGCAGCACTCCGTAAGATGATGCCACATCCAATCCTGCGTCCGACTCACCTGCTTCTGTGGGTAGCTGCTTGTTAAAAAGGCCACAGTCTAGCTATTAGGCATCTAAGGATGCAGCGGGTGCAGTGGCGTTTTCATTAGGGAGTGTCACTGCAGAACGTCAGAAGCAATTGGTGAATGAGAGAGTCCCACAAGGGTCGGCTTTGGAGGCAGTGAGTCCATTAGCTCTATTAGGGCTTTTTCATCTCGGTGGAGGCTGAATTATTCACGAGTGCCTCTTCCCCTAAAAGCTCAGGAAGTGTGGTGCCGCGCAGTAGCCTGGAGATGCAGACTCTTGGCAGGATGGGGTGCAGCCCGAGGAGGGGTCCTGACCCTGCCCCAATCTCCCCTTTGCTGCCTGCCTCTGCTGTCCTTGTGTGTGAGAAGTGCGGATGATCCGCTGAGCCACGGGTAGGAAGGAGCAGGCTGTGCTGTTATTTGAGTGCTGGACTTGGAGTGTATGGCTTCCACCCCACCCTGTTGCAAACTGTGTCTGCAGAGCTGGGGTACCCGTGGTGAGTGGCCACCGCCTACATGAAGGGATACACAAGAGATGTTCTTTCCCTCCATACTATGTGGGCCAAAAAGCATATAATTACCAGTACCTGGAAGGTTCTAGGAACTTATTTGGACACATGCTGCCCCTCCCTCAGGCAGGGGACCTGTAGCCTTCCTTGACCACATGTATCCTGACCTGTGCTTCAGGCAAAGCTTTGAGACTGCTCACGGTGGAGTGTCAGGATGAGGCCAAATGCTGAGGGTCCAGGGTTGTGACAGCTGGGGGAAGGGCGAGTGCTATCACCCTTGGATGCCATGAAAGAGCTGGTGCCATACTATCTTCCGCTGGAGACGTACCAACGCTTGTGGGATTGGGTTGCGCCTGATCAGCCTCTTACACAAATAAACAGACAGCAATTGCCATTGTGTGGGGAGGGACAGGACAGGAAACCAGTGTCCTGGATGGGAGGCTGGGGAGGACACAGAACCAGGGGTATGTGAGCATCTGGAAGGCCTCTGGTTGGAACTGGGATGGGTTTTCTACAAAGGCCAAGTCTGCCGCTTCTCCCAAGAGTTTTTTGTTTGTTTTTTTGTTTGTTTGAGGCAAAGTCTCACTAAGTAGCCCTGGCTGGCCTCAAATTCACAGAAATCTACCTGCCTCTGTATCCCCAATGCTGGGATTAAAGGCATGTGCCACTATGCCTAGGAGTTTAACTTAAAAAATGAACCAGCCAGGTGTGGTGGCGCACACCTTTAATCCTAGCACTTGGGAGGCAGAGGCAGGCGGATCTCTGTGAATTCAAGGCCAGCCTGGTCTACATAGTGAGTTCCAGGCCAGCTGGGGCTACAGGGAGACCATGTCTCAAAAAAAAAAAAAAAAGACCCAACGGGCTCAGTGGTTAAGAGCACTGTAGAGGACCCGGGTTTGACTCCCAGCACTCACATGGTAGATGACAACCATCCATAACTCCAGTTCCAGGTGAATCCGACACCCTCTTCTGACCTCCATGGGCATTGCACAACATGGGTACACTTACATACATGTAGGCAATACACTCACATACATAAAGTAAAAATAAGAATAAAAATAACAAAAAACCCTGCTGAACACAGTGGGTTTTGTGCTCGGGATGCTTGAAGAAAGAGAATCACTATTGAGTTTGAGGTCAGCCTGGGCTACACAGTGTGTTCCAGCCTGAGCTACACAGTAGTGTGGTCCAGGCCAGCTTGAGCTACGGTGAGACCCTGTCTCAAAAACAATACATTCATCTCCTACCAGAAAGCAAAATAAAAAAACATAGCTTGCTTCAGGTACTTTGTTATAGTAAGAAAAACCCGATAGTTTACTATGATGGCAGTTTCTTGCCTTTTACTCCCAGCCTTAGCACAGGATGGTGATCATCAGACTGACACACTCTGGGCCTCCTCTCTGCCCTTTTGTGTTTTAGCTCCTGCCCACCAGTGGCTGGGCCCTGGTCCCAACCCCTGCTCCTGCTCTGCATGCTCACGCCCTCACTCTCCCCTGCAGCCCTCTGGTCTAGCCCTTCTCTGTCTTTCCTGGGCTCCTGCCGTTGGCCTCCCTGCTCTCTCGAACTCCTTCTGCAGCAGGCTTCCTCCCTATGGCCGAGCTCTGGCCCCTGCCCTGCTCAAACACTGTGTATGCCTGCTTGACTTGCCACTTAAGGCTTCCCCCAGTTTGATCCCAATCTGCCCCTGCAGTCCCGCCTCCTCACATCCTCCACGGCCCGGTCTGTGAAGCCATCTCTTGTTCTCTGTGTGACCCTCCACATTGTGGCTCTTCTCCCCAGACTGCTTGCTGAGTCCTGCCTAGCCTGCAGTATTCGTCTCAAAACCCCCATGCTGCTCTCTCCACCAAGTCTTCCCAGCTGGGGGGGGGGGGGAACCATACCCTCCTTGGAACCTAGTCCTTCATGACAGCTTTGCCCTAACTCTACTGGAGCTTGGGGGTTGGGTTGGATTATTATTCCCTTCTTTCCCCCTCTATGTATCCAGAACTTTCACTGTATCTGGATTGTCAACTTGACTGAATTAAGAAACATGCCTAGGGCATGAGTGAGTTCCGTCTTTGGGTGTATCAGTCCTGTCTTACCATCCTATAAGCTAGGACCTCAGACTGCAAAACAAAAAACAACAAAAAAGGGTGGTGGTGGTGGAAAGGAGGAATCTGGCTGAGCTCAGGCATGTCCCCTCTCTCTGCCCCTATCTCCCCATGTCCCCATCACACTTCTGCAGGCTTGGCCAACAGCTACTCCACTGCCGGGGCCTCCCCGCCATGATGGATGTGACTCCCAAACCATGAGCCAAAATAAACCCCTCCTCCCTGACGTTGCTTCTTGTCAGGTATTTGGTAAAAAGGAACAAAGTAAGTAACACAGTGTGACTGGCGGGGGGATGCATTTCCTGCCCTACAGCTTCCTGCTTGGCCATAAGGATGTGAGAGGAAGTTTCAGGGTTTGGGCTCCTGCTGTAGGCCCTAAGAGACAGGAAATGTTTCTGTTTTTCCCGTGGCACTTCCTCCATGTGCTGGGGCTAGGAAGAACACATGGACCCACCTGTAGCACAGAGACAAAACTGACCCCTGCACAGCCCAGAGAAGCTGATTCTAGTCAACCCAGACATATAAAGAAAGAAATACTAATTGCCAAAGGACACCTGGGGTTGTTTGTTATGCAGCACTGTTTAGAGCTGACTGATACAGGGTCTTATACCCTTGTTAATCTGGGAGCTGCACCACTAGAATGCAGGATGGTGAGTGCCCTCCCCTAAACCTTCTGCCATCAGAGTCCAGTGTTAAACAGCCTGTGACAGCCATCTTAGCACTGTGTGAGGTGGGCCCCCAGTCTGTTTAACAAATGAAGGTTCCAGCCCTTTGAAGTCACCACTAGAGGCCCAGTCTGAGTGTGAAGAAACCACACTGAGGGCCAAGGACAGGGTAGATCTGTGGTCCCTGGTCCCGAGGGCCGAGGACAGGGTGGACCTGTGGTCCCTGGTCCCGAGGGCCGAGGACAGGGTGGACCTGGGGTCCCTGGTTCTGAGGGCCAGCCAGTGGTGTATAAGACTCACTCCATTTCCCACATGCTCTAATTTACTCAGGTCCCTGCCATGATGTTTTCTTGCCTGGTGCTCGGTTCCTGCTCCTTCCCCTCTGGGCTGAGGTAGACTGGGCTAAGAACACATTTGGTTTTGTTACTCAGATCTTTCTAGAACAAATATTTCTTATGATATATTATGCCACACAGATGTACATATGTGTCTGTAAGCTCAAATTCAGATCTAACCACTTCAGGCAAAAATCTTATCGGCTCCAAATTTCAGTCAAACCAGAGAGTCAGTTGTCTCTTGGAGTTCCCTGTGAGGAATGAGACTTCAAAGCCAGAAAGGAGACAGGCAGAGATGAGCCCAGGTACACCATGGTCAGACATGCCTGTGGCTATGAGGCTGTGGGGAGGAAAAGGCTGTATGAGGTTCCAGTGTTGGCCCAGCACCCATGGCACGGGACTCCTGGTACAAGGACAAATACCCCACACTCTGGGGTACCCTAAAGGGGTACAACCCAGAAAGCCAACTCTGGGCAGAGACTGCCAAGGCCTGTAGGTGCAGATGCCATGACAGGCATGGGCCTGTCACGTGTGCTGAGTCCCCAGGAAGCATGCGTCTTCTCCATGTGTCCCCCGCTTTTCGAGTGAGGGTAAGACAGTCCAAAGACGGATAGACTGGTTTGAGAGGAGCCCACAGCCGCACATCTGGGTCCTCACAGGGCACAGTCTTTTGCCAAGCAAGCACCTGACTTCCAATTCTTCAACAGGGATGTGCATCAGAGAGACACCATGACTCTGACCTTGATCTGAATTGTACCAGTACTGCACACGCCCTATGAAAGCATTAGCCCTCAGTGTACCGGAAAGTTCCACAGCCTGTAAACCCATCCAAAGTCAAATCTGCAGGTCAAAGGAAAAATGGGTTCATCGGAGCCTTCGCTCTGGTAATGGAAGCACAGACCCCACGGCCACACGAAGGCGCCCACATACTGCCCAAGTTTCTTTTCGTTCTTTTCTTGTGGTGCTAAGAATGAAACCCAGAGGCTTGTGCCCACTAGGCAAGTGCACTTTCACTGAGGCCCAGCCTAGCTGACAAGTGAGGGTTGAATCCATTTTCTCAAATCAAAGCTGACTTCAGTAGACAATGCAATTAACCCAACTACACACTCCTCACCTGGGCACTGCATACACGCCATTTGTAGCCCAGAGAGACACAGGTAGAGACTGTTATTAGAGGCAATGCCAGTCTGCATGGTGCCCTGCCCGGGTTGGGGACAGCCCTTCCCCACCACACCGCTGCCTTCAGCCTTCTGGGTTGGAGGGAGAAGGAGGCTCATTACCTGTAAAACTGGAGCTGCCTTTTGGGACTCCCATACCGAGTACTTCGGATAGCAACAGAGGAAAAAAGGGAGAAAAAAAGAGGAGAGAAGACAGTCCGCAATTGGCATCAACCACAGGCAGGTGTGAACTCAAAACGCATCACGGACATCCCTCAGCCCCCTCCCTACTCCCTACTGGATTCCCACCCTCTGCTGGCTCCAGCTATCTGACCCAGCTCTGTGGGAGGATGTGCCGCCAGGTACCAAATGCTCCGCAGCAGCGCCACCCAGTGGCCACAGAGGAGTCCTGCAGTGCCTGTCGTTTCCCACAGCAAACCTCTGGGTTTAGAGCATGGTTTATGATGTTTTAGAACACCCTGGTAACTGCCTGTGCCCTTTCCAAGACACTCTTTTACCCCGGTTTCCACAGACACGGGTTCTGCCTCAGGCTCCAACGGTTATCTATAAAGGTCTGAATTTCAGAGTCTATAGGTTGTTGGGGGTCTTTCACAATGGATGGCTGTGCAGGCATTAGGGTTCTATGCTGAGTCTGCAGCTGGAAGCTCTCAACAGTGCCTTCTGTAGGTGGCATGGTATTCAGATAGGCTGGCTTACACAAGGAGGTCAAGGGTTGCCCTCTGAGAGCCTGATGCTTCCCTTTAAAAAAATGGGCAGATGCAGCTCCCCAAATGCCCCTGAGTACTTAAGAGAGCTTGGGTGGAGTCCCACAGCCCACTCAGCCACGATGTGTACAGTATGGGGCACAGACACCAGGAAGGGCCCTCCACTCACAGTGGGGCCTCTTTGGTACCCTCAAATGGAATTCTGGAAGTCAGAAACCAGAAATGAATCTATCTTGGCTCAGTTCCACCCAGGAAGTTTTTGCTAATACCCTTTCCTGTGTACATCCCAGCCCTGTGAGCCCTGATGGGGAGAGCAGTGGCTTCAGGGACTCCTCCTTAGAGGAAAGGCTGGTCCTGGGAGGAGGGCTGGGTAGAGGGCGGAGCAGGGGTTACCTGTAGATCATCCCAGGGGAGCCTGTCTGCCGCAGGGAGAGCCGAGCCGGGGACCCTGTAGTTGATTCTGGATACATGGGGCTGGCCTTACTCGTCAGGACCTCCTTGTCTTTTCACAGAAGGAAAGTTCTGGAAGAAAAAGAAAAAGTGCGGTTGGGGAGAGGGTGGAGGTTCAAAACCATGGATCAGGTTTGGCCAGGAGGAAGCCATATGGATCCACAGGGCATCAGACCATCTCTCTTCAGACAGACAGCCCCCTGGACTCAAACGGGCTGATGATCAGGTATTGTGACTGGGAAGAGTTACTGCTTTTCAACTCCACATCCTGCTCGATGCATCATGCGATCTTTCTCCACAGCTTTTCTGAAACTGGGAGCGGACTCCACCAGAGTGGGAGAGACAGAAGGTCTGTGGGCGCCTCTGTCCTGCACCCATCTCCCTCTCCCAAGAACTGGTACCTTTACACCTTCTCTCGCCCAATTCCACCCCACAGCAGCTTTCTATGCTGCCCCGAGCTTTAGGAAGCTTGTCAGATACTCTCAGTGACCCGTCTCCTCCCCTTCAGCACAGTAGGACCTGGTGACCTGCTTCTGACCAGGATAGCACAGCAAGGGAGGTGCGTTGTCATGAGACAACATGGACTGGGATTTCTGGCTCTGATAAAGCAAGTTGCCATATGGAAGAGGCCCATGTGGTAGGAGCTGAGGGTGTCCTCTGGCCCATAGCCAGAGAGGAACCAAGCCTCAGTCCAAAGGTCCACAGAGGAGTGACTCTTCAGATGACCCTGGGAGCTTGGAAGCTGATCCTTCCCCAGCTAGGCCTTCCTATGAGCACCCAGCCCTGGTCAGCACTCATGGGGCCCTAAAGTTATACTTGGTCATGCCTTTTTGACTTCAGACCCACAGAAACCCTGATGTAATAAACATGCTGTTTTAAAAATTATTTTGTTATTTTTATATTGCCTGCATGTATCTAAGTGCATCCGTGTTGTGCAATTCCTGTGCAGGTCAGAAGAGGGCCTTGGATCCCCTAGAACTGGAGTTATGGATGGTTGTTAGCTACCATGTGGGAGCTGGGAACAGAACCCAGGTCCTCTGCAAGAGCAGCCAGTGCTGTTAACTGCTGAGCATCTCTCCAGCCCCATAAACATGCTGTTTTAAGCCATCAAGTTTGTGGTCATTTGCTTTAGTAGCAGAACATAATGACTATGATTTCCAGAGTCCATCTGTCCATCTGCCATCCATCCATCTGCCCATCCACTCATCCATCTACCAATCCATCTATCCATCCATCCATCCATCCATCCATCCATCTACCCACCCACCCATCCATCCATCCATCTGCCCATTCATCCACCCGTCCATCTACCAACCTATCCATCCATCCATCCATCATCCATCTGCCCATTCATCCACCCATCCACCAACCCATCCATCCATCCATCCATCCATCCATCCATCCATCCATCTGCCCATCCATCCACCCGTCCATCTACCAACTCATCCATCCATCCATCCGCCCCCCCCACCTACCCACCATGGATCCATCCTTCTTTCCTTCCTTTTCTCCACAGACCCTTCCATCTTCTTACCCTCCCTCCCTCCCTCCAGGTCTCCCACTGCTATCCTTGGGCCAAGTTACCAGCCATTCACTTAAAGCCTGAGTCAGCATCCTGACTGCTCCCTGCTCCCTCTCAGCCCTAGTCTCCTGGCTCCACCTAGCAACCCTGGGCATCTATTTCAAAAGGAATCTAGTCAAGAAGCCCCTTTTTCCTCTGGCCATCCCATCATGGCCTCCTGGGCTGGTGTTCTCCCTCCTGGCTCTCACTTGTACTCTGGCTCCCATACCTGGCCACCTGGGTATTCTCTTAACAGGCCAAGCTCACTGCCCCACCTCCATCCCAGGGCCTTTGCAGTGACAGTTTCTTTGGCTTCCACATTCAGGGGTCCCTTTCCAGCTCCCCAGGCAGTTCAAACAACCTGTCTGCACGTAGATTTGAGTGTTCCAGCTCCTTCTCTGCAGTGGAAGCTCCAGGAGGCCTTGCTAACTGCCATATACCTGGTCTACCAAAGTCACATGGCCTGCCCATGGACAAAGGGATGTCTGGGATTGACAATGGTCCCCTGAAACTGGAGGTGACACTTAGCTAAACAGCCCATTTTGGTTTTGTTTACTTGGTGTTTCCTTTTCCACAGACACTAACCTCCTCTTCCAGGAGGTGGCTTTCTTGCAACACCCTCTACCCCCTGGGCAGTGCTACCTGATGTAGGTGCTGATGAGGTCTCCTGAACTGGAGGCCCCTCAGCACCCACTTTCCCCACCAGCCCTGGCTGGATACTGAATATCTTTCCAGTGGCCTTTCCCATTTGTGTGTGTCCAAGTGTGTGCATGCCCACGGAGGCCAGAGGTCAACACTAAGTGTCTTCCTCAAGCACTCGCCACTTATTTCTGAGACAGTGTCTCTCACTGAACCTGGAGATCACCAACTGGCTAGACTGACTGGCGCAAGCACCAGGGCTGCCAGTGTCTGCCTCCCAGTGCTGAGATTACAGGTGTTCATCTACGCACCTGGCATTTGTTTTGTTTTGTTTTGTTTTGTTTTGTTTGAGACAGGATCTTACTATGTAACTCTGGCTGACCTGGAACTTGCTTTGTAGACCAGGCTGGCCTAGAACTCATAGACAGCCACCTGTTACTGCTTCCTGAGTGCTGGGACTAAAGAGCGTACCACTACACTTAGCCTTGTACCTGGCTTTGTGTGGGGGTTCTGGGGCTCAATCTCAGGTCCCCACACTTGCTTGTTAAGCACTTTACTGACTGAGCCATCTCCCCGGCCTTCATCTTTCAGGATCCTCCAGGGTCACTGGCACTCAGAGTCACCAGCCAGAATCTCATCTGCCCAGGTCTATGCTAGAAGGTGCTTACGGGTCCTGGAGCAGGATGGAGCTGCAGAACCCCACGTCTTTGACAGACACTGTCCTTCTGGCCCCAAGCTGGTGGGACCCTCATCTGTGCGGCATTTCATTCTGGCAAGTGGTTGGTTGCCTGGCACTGGGGACTGCAGGGTGTTGGGGGGGCATCTGGGTGGGTGTTTCATGAGTCTTGGGTGACTCAAAGGCATAGAATCCCATTGTCTCACTAAAGTCACTAAAAAGGTGTCATTAAGCTTCCACAGAGACTTGATGCACAGTCCCCTTAATGCGGGAAGCATGGGCGGAGCCCTGCTGCAGGTGCCAGGGGCTGTGAGTCCTCCACCCTGAAGCACAGCTTAGGGCGGAGTGACACAGACAGGAGACCACAGAGTGCTGTAAGGGCAAAGGAACAGCGGCGTCCATCTAGGAGTTTGGTCAAGCTCCTTCTGACTCTTCCTTCTCTCCATCCCCAGCCCCACTCACCCTTGGCATGGACTCCTTCCTTCCTCCTAACAGATTCCTAAAACGTCACCAGAGACCCCCTTCACCCCACCAGCTTACTCCAATGGGAAGCCAGAGGGCTTCGGCTCAGATCAGGGCCACCACTGTGCTTACCACCTTCCATTCTATTCAGAGTAAAAGCCAAATACCTCCTGACACCTTTGGGCCCCCTGTTGCTCCCAGAGCCTCTCCGATCTCACCTCCCCCAGGTGGCCCCTCATTCACTCTGCCCAGCAACATGGTCTCTGTTGGGGTCCCTGAGCCTAGCACAACCATCCCCTTCTCAGAACTCCTGTAATCCATCCCTCTTCCTCCCACCTGAACTTGGCCTTTGACCCCAATCATCTGTTGAGTCCCCTTCCTTTGCCGCTGTCAAGGTCACTTTCGCATGGAGGCCTGAACACCTTGTTTGAAAACCCAGCCTCTCCCTCCCCATGCTCATTGTTCACTTGACGCTTTCCTGTGTCATTTCCCTCCCTGGCACCTGTCACTACGGATATACCCAAGGCTCACCCACTTGTCCGGTGCTTGACAACCCTCCCTACTCGAGCTCTGCCAGCTCGGTGAAGTTTCTGTCTTGTGCTCCTGCTGTGTCAGGGATGTGGTAGACACCGGTTACTGAATGAATGACTGTGACTCAGCCTGCTGGAAGCCAGTGGGGGATGAGCACGGGTGGGGGGGGCAGTCTGTGTTACTGCAGGTAGCACACACCCTGCTGTGACAGTGAGGCGGCCTGGGGGGCATGCTGCCTGCCTTCTCAGGAGGCTGCAATGCCTGCTTGGTCCAGTGGGAGCGCTCAGAGCATCTGTAGGTACCAAGGAACTGCTGTTATTGGTGAGGCACCCTGGGAGGCCCCTGTCCTACTCCTGTCCCTAACCAGGACTCCAAGAAGTGCTGATCCTGAGACCAAGCTCCCTTTGTGAGTATGACCAACCCTCTCCGCAGGCCCCTTCCTACAGGAAGGTCTTACTCTGACAACCACTGCCATGGAATTGCCTGTGCTGTCTCCTGTGGGTTGGCAGCCTAGCCCACCACCTCTGCCACCTCTCTGGGAGGGAGAGGCTGGGATTTCCCACAGCCCCTACTTTGCATTCTGGATGCAGGGCTCTAGGTGGAGCCCACCTCCTGGCTCTGCAGCTGCCGCTGTCCAATCAGGAGCAACTGCACCTGCTGAATGGCCAATCCCAGCGGAGCCTACCTTCCTCATGGCGTTGCTCTGAATCCTAGACTGGTGCAATGATCAAGCACCACATCTTGGAGGGAGGCAGACAGAGCTGATCTAGGTGTCCCCAAGCCCCTGACACTCCCACTGTGTTTGTGTGGAGGACCCGAAGAGCTGAGCTGGTGTCCCCCTGGCCCCTGATGTCCCTCAGTTTGGAGTGCAGGCTGTGAAGCACTTTGACAACCCACCAGTCCCAAGAGGGGCGGGGGGCAGGGGAGCTGGTTAGGGTCCAGGCTGGAGGTCAAAGTCTGGGTCCCACATCTGTGTGTGACCTGGAGTTACTCTTCCTGATTTATATTTGGGGACTCTGAAGCTGTCAGCTTTACCAAAGGCTGTCCAAACTTCCTTATGGAAGCAAAGAGAGGCGTGTAAATTCGTTGAGGCCAAAAGAGCAGGGGTGTGTGTGCAAATCTTAGCTTTTCAACACTGCACAGCAAGGTGACAATAAACAGGAGATGGAGAAAGGACAGCGGCTCTGTTCAAGCCATTTCCTTTCTGCTCCCCAAATTATTAAGAAAACATTCACATCTCAGAAAAGTTAAAGAGAAATCAGGACAGCAGTAAACACCCAATAATCTCCTTTCTCCCTTCTCGGCAAAGGTTTATACCTGGTCTCACTTCATGAATTCCCTCTGTCCCCTGTTCTCCTGAGGACACACTCATGCATACGTGCATAATTCTCCAAACCCTTTGAAGATAAGCTGCAACCTCCAGACTTTCATTCACAAGCACGTCATCCTCCTCCTCCCAAGATGCACGTGACGGATCTGGTAAGAGTTCATCAGCATCTCTATTCAGATTCCCCAGTTAGCCCACAGTATCTTGTTTAGATTTTTAAAACATCCAGGATCCTTCTGAGGAGCACATATGGTAGGAGCTATTTGTCTCCAGTCCCTCCTTAGCTAGAAACCCTGCATCATCACTGCACGCGCGCGCGCGCGCGCGTGCGTGCGTGCGTGCGTGCGTGTGTGTGTGTGTGTGTGTGTGTGGTATCTGTGCGCATACACGTGCATTGGTGCCCGTACCCATTTGTGGGATGTGGAGGCCAGAGGCCAAGCTCAGGTGTCTTCCTTTCCACTTTATTGTGTGTGTGGGTGTGGGGGGTACGTGTGGGTGGGTATGCTCGTGTACCAATGGAAGCCAGAGCAGGACATCAGGTGACTTCTAGTGCTTTCTTCCTTACTCCCTTGAGGCAGGCTCCCTGAGTGAGCCGGAAGCTTGCTGTCTGGGCTAGACTGGCTGGCCAGTGAGCTATCGGGATTGCCTATCTCTGCTAACCAATGTTGGGGTTTCAGGCACACACAGCCATGCCCAGCTTGTTATATAGATGCTGAGGAACAAAACTCAGGTCCTCATGCTGAGCAAGCGCTCTCACCACTGAACCATTTCCCCAGGTCCCACCTTAGTTTTTGAGACAAGGCCTCTAGCTGGACCCTGTGCTGATTGTCTAGATTAGCTGGCCATTGAGCTCGAGATGCTCCACCTCCCAGTGCTGGGATTACAGATGCACACTGCCAGACCCAGCTATTTTAAGTGGACGCTAGGGATTTGAACTCAGGTCCTCAGGGTTGTGCAGCAAACTCTTGACCCACTGAGCTGTCTCCACAGCCCTCATTTTTGCTTTATGACTCCTTTTTTTGGGTTCTGGGGATGGAATCCAGGGCCCTGTGCTCTATGACTGAGCCCCATCCCTGGCCTCACACTGAGGGTTTTTTTTCAGGGTTCCAGTCCCTCACCTCATGGGCCGTTTTTCAGTTTTGTTGTGTCTGATTGCTGCCAGATGTCTACTTTTAGCCAAAACTTTGTAGCAGGCTTCATCTTGCACATCCGTCAGGAAGCACAGTTTGCCACTGTGGGCGAAGTCAGCTCTGGCCACTGGGTTAGGGCATGGCTCGCTTCCTCCTCAGTCACCAGCTAGGAATTGTGGGAAAGTCCCTTGAGGATCTGGGTCCTCTGCAACCTCTCAAGGTGTGTGTGTTCTCAACTGCTGTTTTCTAGAAAAGCCAAAGTATTGCCATTTGGACTCTGAGGGCAGAGTTGGTGAGAGGACCAGAAGCTAAGTTCACACGGAAGGAAAACATGAGAGATTTCTGGTGGGCTCAGTCGATCTTCAAAGCCCAGAGCTCAGGAAAGCTTCGGTGTTCAGATCTAACTTCCCTAGAAAACTGCAAAGCTAAGTCTCTCAGCCAATCCCAAGCCTGTCCCGGAGCCCAGAGTGGCGGCTCAACGACCTTCAGTCAGACCTTGGTACAGTCTGAGAGTTCAGAAGCACTGAGCCCTTTGGAATAATGACCTTTTATGCTACCTACAAGGACTCACAGGCCTGGAACCAGGAGAGAGAAGGCCACATGAAGAGGCCACTTCACCAGAACATCATGAGGGTACACAGGAAGCCATCTTGAAGCTTGATCACTGCAACACCATTAATGGGCCACTCCCCACACTGACCTCTGTTGTCACATCCCCTGAGGCTAGTGGAGGACCCACTCTGTCAGGACAAGAGCCCGACTATCCCCTGGAGCCAGAGTCTTAGGTGTGCAGTAATACTCAGTGCACGTGGGCTGACAGGACAGAGGGGCAGAGGCTGGCCCCGGCTGTGTATACCTCAGCCTGGCACCTTTAGGAAAAACCTTCAGGCTGACAGGACTCAAGTTTCTGCTCTATCGGATGTTACTTTACATGCCAAGGCTTGAATGCTGGGAATTCCATCAGAACCTTAAAGCACTTGCTGGGAGAGTCACCCAGCCAAAGCCTGGAAGGGCCTCCCTCGGGGCTGGGTGCCTGGTGCTGACAAGGCGCCTACTGGAGTGACAGGAAGAGGTCTAACTGCTGGAAACCACACACGCCACACAAAGGGCACTTAGGTGACACACCCTTCCTCTCTGCTAAGAAGTCAGGAGCCATGACGTGGGCCCCCTTTTCTCCCAGGAGCTAGGGCTGCGCTCTTGCTAAGCCTAGGTGCACTTGGATGTCGGTTCTGTTCATGAGAAGCAGTGCCTGGTGGGGAGGGTACAGATCAGGAGTCAATAGCCCAGCTCCCTCCAATTCGGACCTCGCTCAGATGCAGCCCTGGTGTGGGCCGTGGGGAGAACAATACAGACATAACTAGATGCCAAGGTCTCACCCCGGACCTTTTTTGTTTGTTTTTTGTGTGTGTTCAAAGGTGTGCACATGTGTGTAGGTGCACATGCGTGTGTGTTGAGACCAGCGATCAACACTGGGTGTCTCCCTCCATCACTCTCCACTTTATTTTTTGAGACAGGGTTTGAACTTGAGTCCTAATGCACTTTACTGACAGCCTTTTTCTCAGCTCCAGAACTCTTGGGGTCTGGGGGTGGGGGGTACACGGAATAGGAACCCATCAATTTGACAGGCCACAGCAGAGCATCCGTTCCCAACCACAGAGCCAACCAAGGTCGAGATCACCTGATGGAGCTTTAGATAATACACACCTCATCAATGCCTCATTAACATTTTTAAAAGATCATAGTTGAAAATTTTCAACCTAACTTTTTCAACGCAATATTCAAAAGCCTGTTTCCCCCAAACAAACAAACAAACAAACAAAAAAACCCAACCCTTTGTGGAGCCCAAGGTCAAAAGCACTTCACAATTAAGCAATGTAGTAATTAAAAAAAAGACTACAACCAGCACAATCCCACAGTGCTCAATACAATGTCAACTACATCCACCAGCTCCCTTTCCTCAAAGGGACAGCATTTGGCCTTGGGGCTAGGGGCTCAGCACTCCTACCCTGAAGGAAACTACACTGTGGCTGCCGTCACCATGACAGCACTGTCAGGATGAGAACCACCTGGTCCTAAGCCTGGGCTGACTCCTGTTGTCCCCATCCCAGCATCCCTCAGAACTCAGGGCAAATGCCACATTATCTGAGGGTCTGGCTTGTAGACTAAAGTACAAGGATTGAGTGGGGGCAGGCAGGCCTGCTTCCTGGTCATAGCCTCTCCAGCTCCACCCCATGTCTTGGCAACTACAGTAGGTGCTGTGTGCAGGTATCGGGGAGACTCCAGCAGTGCAGCTAGCTCAGGGTGACAAGACCCTAACCCAGGGCCTGCCTTGGGCTGTGGGGCAGTAGAAACCATATCCACTGTATTCAGGTTGGAGAGCGTCTTCTCTCCCTTCTTCCCTCCCTTATCCATCCATCCATCCGTCCATCCATCCATCTATCCATCCGTCCATCCATCCATCCATCCAGTGCACCCAAGACATTGGGGCCTCCTCCTATAGTACTTGCCGGGGAAGCTCTCAGCCTCCTCCCCACCCTTTCCCCCACTGTGGCTGGCCACACCCTGCACCCATGCACTGTGGGGTGGGGAAGTAAAGGAGGAGAGTCTGGTAAGGGAGGAAGGAAGCTGGGTCCCAGGGAGCTCCCTGCCCACCCGGGCCTTGCTTCTGGCACAGTGACTATTGACTGGTCTTGTTTGGAGCTGCAGGGTAGAGAAGGGCTTGGAGAGGTGTCCCACCCCCACCTCGCTCTCAGCCTACAGGAAGGCAGGGGGAGTCCAGGAGGGACAGGACCCATCACATTTCTTGTCAAGGTAGGGGCCTCACTCCTGCTCAGAGACTGAGAAGAGAACATATGGGCACACTTCTTAGAGTCACCAGGGGCTGCTGGGTGGCTGGCATGCACACTCATTCCCGTAGAGGTACAGAGGCACCCTGTAAGGCTCTTGATCTCCTAGTGGCCTCCCTGTGTCACCCCAGGGATGAAAGCAGAAGCCCATGGAGAGCTGTGTCACAGTCAGACACCTCCACTGGGTGCCGGGCTGCTGTGCCCACCCAGCCTTCTGAATGGCCACTGGGTCTCTGTGTGTGCTTGGCTGCTGTGGGTCCTGGAAGGTTGGGCAGGAAGCCACATGGGGCCACAAGGGGCCTGGGTTGAGGCAGGGTATCTGTAAGGATATTAACCCTGGATATTCCGGAGCCACAAAGCCCTGCTCGGGCGCCACCCATGTACCAGAAAGGAAACCTGCCCTGGAAAGCGCATCCCCAAAGTGCCCTGGGTACCTGCTGTGAATAGGGATCGGCAGAGGAGACCATGTTCTGTGGGTCTGGTGGAAGGCTGAGTCACTGTCTGCTGCGCAGCATACCACTGGGGCCACAGGCTCAACAGGAAGTTGGTGCAGCAAGTACCAGGGCCCCACGTGCCGCCACGGCACAGCTGGGAGACAGTGGCAAACCAGGGTCCCCCAGGGTGTGGCTTCTGTTTCTAGTCCCCTGTCCCAAGTGGGAAGGCCCAGACATCCTGGGTGTGTGGGCAGTGTGGCTGTCCTAGAGACAGGAGCAGGGAGACCAAAGATAGGGGAGGGGTCAGCGACCTTTGGGTCCCTGTCGCCTCCCCATAGGACCCCTCTAGAAGGGTAGGCAGACCCTCTCTGTCACCTGGGAGTCCCTTTATCAGGGCAAAGAGAGTCACTATCTAGCAAGTCCTGGTGATGCTAAACAGCGCCCCTTACTGGAGCGGCTTTGTGGGGTGCCCCTTCAGCTGTGTCATCTCATTTGCTTTTGGTTTTTTGCGGGGGAGGGGAGAGGTCTTTTTGAGACAGGGTCTCCCTGTAGCCCCAGCTGGTCTAGCACTCGCTATGTAGACCAGCTGGCCTTGATCTCACAGAGATCGGCTTGCCTGTCAAGTGCTAGGACTAAAGGCGTGCGCCACCATGCCCGGCTCATGTCACCTCATCTGGTTGCTGTTCCCCACAGTCTTGGGAAAGGATGCTGTCAACTGCCTCTCATGTTACAGATGATGTCCTGAGGGTCTAGAAGCTCAGGCACAAGCATGGGATCTGCACTCAGGGTTGCTGACTTCAAGCTGTGTTCTGAGATTCCAGCAGGGCTCTGCTTCCCACCCCTCTGCCCACCCCTCAGAGAATCAGGTGACTTGGCAGGTGCAAAGCTGAGTATATGCAGAGCAGGTCCCGGGGAGGATGGGACACAGGGGGTGCTCCACTGTGGGGAGGTTTCTGGCTGCATCGGGCCTTTCTCTTCCTTCTTGGGAGATCTTTTACACCTTGTTAAGCCAGCTGCTGAGTGGTGAAACATGACTGTAACTCCACCAGCCCAACTCTCCCCAGGTGGGGTAAAAGAGAGGATTTGCCAGAATGTTCAACATCCCACAGTTACCTGCGGAGTACTGAATCTCCAGCACCCGCTCCTGATACACACTCTCCAGGAGGAAGGTGGTTCTCCTTCCCCAGGTGAGCCCCGGCTCTGCAGCATCTTGGGGCCGTCAGCCAACTTGGCTCTTGTGCACTGGATGAGGGGTCCCCAGCAGGATAAATACACGAACAGAGTACAGTGGGCGGGGGGAGGGAGCAGAGGAAAAGAAAACACTTGGAGTGTTCTGTAAGAAAGCAGAGGTGCTGGGGGATGAACAAGGAGAAAGGGAAAACTGAGACACCACCAGGGAGAGCGGACTCGATCTGGCCTGTGTCCTCTCATCCCTCAAATGCAAAGGACACTTAGCAGGATATTAAGGTTCACAATATTAAACAGCACCCAGGGCCCCTCAGAAAAGGTGGAACTGGAGCTCAGATTCACTTGTTTCCATTTCTGGGCTCTGTCCTACACGTCTATCACCTTCCCCTGCTCTGGAGTCCCCCCACTCGGGTCTCTGATGCTGGACAAATGACCCTTAGCTTGGACAGAGAAGGAGGACGGGGCGGGGGGAGAGCTATGTACACCAGGCTGGCCTTGATCTCACAGAGATCCTCCTGCCTCTGCCTCCCAAGTGCTGGGATTAAAGGCATGTGTCACCACATGGCTGTGTGTGTGTGTGTGTATACACATATGTGTGTGCCTGTGTATATGTGTTTGTATGTGTCAATGTGTCTACATATACATGTGTGTAGTAGGGCTTGTGTGTATGCTTGTATCTGTGAATACACATGTATGCATATAAGTGTATGCATGTGTGTATATGTGCATGTGTATCATATATATGTATGTGTGAATGTATATGTGTGTATGCATGTGTGTATGTTATGTGCATGTATATGCATGTTTGTATGTGTGTATGTATGTGTGTGTATGCAGGCATCTGCTTACTCCAAGAGGGAAGACATAAACACAGACTTCATCCATGCTGTCATTGTTCACAGTGGCTAGTACTGACTCTCAGGAACAGGAGATGAAGTCCAGTGTCGCAGCCAACATCCAGGTCTCACCAGCTGCTCACTGGTACAGACACCAGGCCAGCCTCAGACCTCGGCTCCATTCCTGGCTCCTGGAAGTAAATCTTAGCTCACCAGCAATCTGCCACGTCTTCTTACTTGTAACTCTGGGGCTAGGGAAGTGGCTTAATTGGTAGAGCACTTGCCTCACATGCAGGAAGCCCTGGGTTCGATCCCTAGCTCTGCATAAACTGGGTGAGATGGTATACTCCTGTAATCCCAGCACTCACGGGGTGCAGGCAGAAGGATCAGAGTTCAAGGCCAGCCTTAGTTACATAGTGATCCAGCCTACGGGGGGCTACATCAGACCACGTGTCTCAAAAACTAAAAATTACTTTGGACCAAAAATGGAGGTGACTGGAAGCAAAGTCAGAAATACCTAATTTAAAATATGACAAACAGTAAAAAGATATCCCACAGAATGGGAGGAAATACTTGCAAATGATGAATCTGACAAGGGATTAATATCCAGATTACGCAGAGAACTCCTCAACTCAACAAGAGAAAGCTGAACAAATTGGCCAGAAATGGGCCAAGGCCATCTAGAAGATGCAGAGATGGCAGCAAGCACTGGAAAGGACCCATCAGTCAGGAAATGCAAATCAAACCACAAGGAGACACAGCCCCAGCCTCACGACCATCAGGGTGCCTGCCACCCAAAACCCAGAGAGAGGCGCTTCAGATGCTGAGACAGGGGAGCCCCCGTGCACTGCTGGAGTGTAAGGTGTGCAGTCACAGTGGGAAACAATCTGGAGGTTCCTCAGAAACACAGAAATAGAACTGCCTGTGATCCAGCAATTGCACTTTTTATATTGTGGCTTGTCTGTGAAATGCCCCCACAGCCTCAAGTGTTCCAACACTTTGATCTCTAGTTGCTGGGGGAGGGTTGTGGAACCTTTAGGAGGTGGGGCCTCCCTAGGGGAAGTCCATCACTGGGGGTGGGCCTTACGGCTTCATAGCCCAGCTCTGCTTCCTGAGGATAGATGCACGTGCCCAGCCAGTCTCCTGCCCCTGTATGTTCTTTACCATGATGGACTGTGTCCCTCTGGAACTGTGAGCCTTTCTCTGTAAGTTGCTTTTGTCTGGGTGTTTTGGTTTTTCTTTTTGAGACTGGGTCTCCCTGTAGCCCGAGCTGGCCTGGAACTCACTATGTAAACCAAGCTGGCCTTGAACTCACAGAGATCCACCTGTCTCTGCCTCCCGAGTGCTGGGATTAAAGGCGTGCACCACCACACCCGGCTTTGTTTGAGTGTTTTATCACAGCAACAAGAAAGGCATACACCCCCAAGAATTGAAAACAGTATTTTAAAGAGATATTTGATATATGCTGGGTGTGGTGGCCTACACCTATAGTCCCAGCACTTGGGAGGCAGAGGCAGGCGGATCTTAGTGAGTTCAAGGCCAGCCTGGTCTACATAGTGAGTTCTAGGACAGCTGGGGCTACAGGGAGACTCTGTCTCAAAAAGGCAAAAAAAAAAAAAGATATTTGCACACTTACGTTCATGGGAGCATTATTCACAAACACAATTCACATGGAAACAGAATGAATAAGCCAGTGATAACCCTAATGTGGCCTAGCCATAGAATGGAATATTACTCATCCTTAAAAAGGAAGGAAATTTTGCCACTACCACTTTGAGGGCTGTAAGCCAGTCACAAAAAGACAGATACAGTGAATCCACATACAGGGCGTTTCTAGAGACAGCAGAATGGGGTTGCCAGGGGCTGGCGGGGGGGATGGGAGTGTTGCTTACTGGGGACAGTTTTGGTTTCACAAGCTGGAAAGAGGCATGGAGGTGGGCAGAGGTGATGGTTTTGTAGCAGGATGAGAACATCACTGGAACTGTACACCTACAGCAGCAGGTTTTATGATGCCTTTTCTTACAATAAAACTGGAAGAGAAGAACACGTCTACTCAGCAAGGATTCACTCTCACACACTTAGGCGTGATCAGTAAACACTGCAGGTGTGTCTTCTGACAGGCACAGCCTATGACCTCACTTCCCAAATAATCTCCCAGGAGGGATGGTCTGGGAGCTGGGTCCTTGTACATGGGCTGCTGTAAAGTTCTGTGTTCCTGATGGCAGAGGATATTCCTAGCATGGTCGTGAAGAGGCTGCATACCAAGTTCTATTGTTTCCAGCAGTTGGGAGATGTTAGGGGCATCCCAGCTGGACCAAGGGTGGGAGGTGGCAGTACACAGGCTGAAGGGGTCCTCTGCTGCAGTAGACTGTGCCCCTAAATCACGGGGGCTCCCAAACTCACAGAGGTCCCTGCTTTCTGATCTCTCTTCTTGAAGAGAGATCAGAAATGTCTGATTTGATGTCCCTCATGCTCCCCTGTGCTGGCACGATGGGGGGGTGTATGTCTCCCAAGAATATCCATGGCTCCCATGGTCAGACTCTCCATGTGTGGGGGACAGGGAGCTGGGCACAGAGCTCTAGAGGGTGCCCAGTCCTCTCTGCAAGATCCCCACCCTGGCAGGTCCCAACATCTCCTCCTTAGGGAACCCTAAGCAGATGACTCCACCGGACAATAGAAAAGATGACAAGGGTCCTTGGCATGTCCATTTCAAACGGGCTCCTTTGTACCTGCCAAGTTCATGGGGTCTCCAATGACACACGACAAATCGGGTCCCTCTGCCATGTGGCATTCTTTCCAGCATCTGAGGGCATCTGGCATCGCTCTCCTCACCCTGCTCTTGAGAGTAAGCTGTGGGCTTCTGATCCTCCCACTAAGCATCTGCCGGAGGCTAATCCATTTCTTTTGGGCTGATGCTGTGTAACATGCTTTGTGTGGGCTGACACACTGAACCCCTCCCAAACTTTAGAGGCAGGCTGGATAAGTGTCCGAGGATCTATCTGGGTGAAGTGAAGGAATCCAGTGGTCTGCAGCTGAGCATGGGCACTCCAGCCAACATTTGGTATGGCTGCTTTCTGGAGCATCCACATACTGACCACCCACTTTTAATGGTATTTCCT